TTTATTTCCCATTTTATTATGAAATTAATAAAGCTTCAGAACATTTTATTGTTTTGAACAATAAATGTTTTATGTTTCTATATTATGTTATTAATAAATTGTTTAAAATGTCTTTTGACTAAGAATATGCATTGAAAAATATAACTATTCTATGAATCTTCTATTTGTTTCACCTATTTCCAAATCACCATTATAACTTTTACCAACTTGACCCTTTCTGTTTGGTGGCATCACTGGCACTGGACTCCGGTTGCAAATACGGTTCCGGGACTGGGAGTAGGGTTACGGGTACGGTTCTCCGACTCCTGGCCCCAAGTCCGACTCCGACTCCGGTCGCCGTTGTCGCTTAACATAGATAAATTGCGTTAGAAAAAGAGGCGGCGGTGTCCTGGGTCCATTCGTATAATTCACTTTTGTCAGACTCATAAAAATTGTTGAGTGACATTTGTTTGTGTTTCCCGTTTGCCGTTCTTGCTGCGCTGCCTCTGTTTTCACTGATTTTGTGTCAGTGCAGCCATCTTTTTCTTTTCCACTAGACTACACACACACACACACAGATACACACCCACAAACACTAGCACACCCACACCCATACACACCCATACACTGTATTTTTGCCTTTTCGCTTTTAGCATTTTTCCTGCCTTTTTTTGCAACGCTCTCTCTCTCTCGTATTTCTGTTTCTGTTGCTGTCTCCACATAAAAGAAAATTAGTGAGTTTTGTTGCAAAAATATAAAACATTTCCCCCCTCCCTCACACCACCGCCCTGCAAACCATCCTTTTCGGCATTCTTTTTACGTTTTTTGTTGTCTTTTGCTTTTGACATTTCTGCTGTAGGTACATAATGACAAAGGTTTCCGTTTTCAAATGGCCTGACACAAAGCGATGAAAAAGCTTAAAACTGTTTTTGTTTTTGGATTGTTTTGTGTGTTTAATTTGAATAAAAATGCCTGCAATTGCATAGTTTTTTGAGCCTTGTGATGCAATTGGAGATGTGTGTTTGAAGGGATTCTCCCGTGTCCCAGGCAATTGACGCCTTTTGTCCTGTATTTTAGCAAAAGGCCTGAGATTGAAATGAATCCTACTTCTATTTAACACTTGAAACGATGACTAACTGTCCTGAAAGGATGTGAGTTGTATATCGGAATATATGTACATATAAATCTAAAAATTATTCAAAAGTATATTAGTTGTTGTCCTATTTTTATGATTACCCTTCATGTCATGACCAATTAAGCGTACCCTTCGCTCTGTGCCATATGCTAGTATTTTTTAAGTCAACAACACCAAGTTCGCTTGGTGGCATATTGATCTTTCCAGGACGTAGCCCTTCCTAACGAACCACAAAACGTCCGCAGCATCGTCACAAATCACGGCCAACACGTGCCAAAAGTCCAGAGACTGGAGTCTACAAAGTCGAAAGTCCAGCGTCCAGTGTCCAGTGCACCTTCGCTTATTAACAATCCTCGGAGAGATTCCACCTGCAGAGACCTGCCATTTGCCTTCTCCCCGTTCCGTCTCCCGTTTTCCATTTCCCATTTCCCATTCACATTTCCCCGGCATTCGTGTTTGCCATTTCCCGTTGCCGTTACCATTTTCACATTAATGAAGTGCTCGTGTGGGCAAGTTGTTACATTTTCTTTCGCTTCGGCGTTGATTACATGAGAAATTCATGTTCAAATTCAAATTTAAAACTTTGCCAACCGTTGGGGAAAAACTTTTCCTCGACCAGGTAACCGATAAAAAGGAGCCAGAGTTTTTTTCAACAAAAATTTTCAGCTCGACTTGTGTCGAAGTCGTGCCATTGCACTTTTCCCTGCACCTCACCCGCTCCTCTCATGGCTCCGATTTTGGTTGATTTGTCGGAAAAGGCGGAGAGCTATGTCCGATATATATATATATATATTTCTGTCTGACCATCAGACTCGTCGCCGGCCATTCCATTCCCATTGCAGTGGAAATTTTTTCCGATTTTCGTTCGAATTTTTTCCAATGTGCTGCATTCAAATATTATCAATTTCTGCAGCTAACGATTTTTCTTGCCAACGCTAACTGATTGAATTGTTAGAACGCTTTACGTGTGCGGCATCGCAAATTCGCGATTGAACTGCGGCCCCCCTTTGACCCTCGACCCCCCGCCCCCTATGACCCGACGAGGCGGGAAAATCAATTTTGGCGAAATAAATTGTCGAATTTCTGGTATAAATTGCAACCGTTTGGCCAACACTTTACCCCGGCAGTAAGCTTTTCACCATTTTCCTCTCCTTTCCGCATTATTTTTGCGACCGACGGCCAGACAAAATGAGGTCCCACAATGAAATAATTTATGATAGTGGCTACAAAAAAAAATCATCAAAAGTATTTCATTTGATGACCGTAAATATCCATTATTCCGAGTAGATAAATCACGACATCGTGCGAGTCATCCCTTCTCATTTAAACCCTTCCATTAGCGAAGCATTAATCTGTTTAATTATTAAGTTAAAGCAAATTTTGATAAATCGATTAAGGTTTGAGGCCTGTCCTTAAGCACTTTGAGTATTTCTATTGAATTAATAATGTGGTCTTACATTAAATTATAATTAAAAATCTAATGAATTAATAAATGACAAAATATAATAACTAATACTGATAGTTATTATCATATACATATATATATAATAACTAATATTGATAGTTATTCTTTTTGTATACAGTTAAAAATGCTCCTTTAAAATGAATGAGAAGTTTAATATTCATAAAAGTGCTCTTTAGAAACTTAAATAATATGAACAAAATTCATTTATTGTTTAAAATCATCACTTAATATTAATATAAATTTAAATTTTAAGGACTTTTTATAGGAATCCTTTTCAGGGTTAATCATTTCCTCATCTTGTCATGTATTTAAATAAAAACAGCAGCAAAAACTCAATACAAATTCCAATTCCAATTCTTTTTTCTTTAATTCCCCAAATAAGTATGCTATATTTTAGCTTCCCACTTTTGCTATTATATTTTTCTAATGTCCCAAAGCAGTAATTAAAGCGGTTTATCTAGCTAATGAATGAACATGACCCCCAAAACTCTCCCCTTCTCCATCAACCAAGGGTGAGAATGAACAGCAGCTTCATTATATTTTGCGGTGCAGTATGAATGAATATCATCGACATTGCTCATACGCCACGGATGACGTGAATTGGCTGCCTGTGCGGCTTCTCTGCTAATTGTTCCAAAATGACAATGCAAATTTGTACAAATTCTCCCGACACCCCTCCTAAACACACACATACACACACCAGACAGAAACAGAGGAATACCGACACGTAAAACGCTTTACAAAATAACCGAAAAATTTGTGTTAAATAAGCGAATAAAAAGCAATGAAAGTTTTTGCCACTTGCCTGCGTCCGGTCCACTCATTCGTTCATTCCTGCCGCTGCGTGTCCATCCGTCTGTCGTCGGTCATTTCCTGTTTTATTTTGCCAACTCATCATCATGGCCGCCGGTACGGTTGGGCATTAAGTTTAAAGCCTAAGTGCTCAGCTGGCACGTTTCAGCGTTTTCAGCACTTTATTTTCAGGTTTCGATTTCACTTCCCAGCGCGCTGATTACTCGTCAGTTGCGCTGATTGCTCCACGTGATACGGACATTAACATTTCTGATTCAATTTGTTCCTGATGTTTTCCCTGAGTTTTGGTCTCACTTTCAATATGAAGCTCCACAAGAACCCAAGAATCCATTATAGTTGACAGCGGAGCAAAGACAAATTCATACAGTGTCAACATCGAAGCAGTTTTCTTTTCGTTTTTCCCCCTTTTGTTTCCAAGAGACACACAAAAAAAATTTGTTTAACAAGCACTTATTTAGATTATATTTGTTGATTTCCACTTATGGAGGAGCACTTAATGCGAACACGACTTCTGTGTCCCGGATCGGGTCTCGAAGCCAAGTATTGGAAGGGGATTTTCCGCAGCAAAACTCCCAAGCCACCCAATCCGTGTTTGCCACTCGAGTATGATTGATAATTCTGATGATTCATGCGTGTAATACAGCTTGGGGTTTTTCCAACTCTCCCTTTTCCTTTCAGAAAGAGAGACATTATGTTGTGACATTTATAAGAAACTCACATGGGTCATGATTTTTCGACTGCCCTCTGCGGTTTTCCGGACAATTTCTCATGGGAATACCCTTCGAAAGTAAAATGTATTTGAATCGGAAATGCAAAGGAAACCGTAGTGAGTGATTGCCTTCTGAGGTTTGAAGATAATAACACTCGACCATTACCCTTAGAACTTGCGGTAGATGACTTTCTCAAGTTTATTGTAAAGTTCTAACTATTTGGGACCCTGTTTCCTGTCCTCCCCCCACCATCCGCTGCCCAAGTAAATTATAGCAGGCCATTAAAGCGCGGCTAATTAAAATTCAGCACGTTCTTACTGGCCCAGCCGGGAGTCGTTGACTCTGGCTAAGTTGAGAGTCATAAGCCAAGCCATAAAACAGCCCGACGAACGACCGCACAGAAGCCATCAAAAATATTGTAACACATTTTGCCTATTAATTGCGAGCCCAGCCACCGGTCGGTAGGTCTCCTTGTAGTTTTCCCTACCAATTTTCCACCTTTTTTACCCCCCTCCAAACACTCTTCCACTAAGTGGGCTCCGAACCCAGAGCGCTCATCCTAATGAAATTTCGCAACATTGTCGATGGGATTTGGTGCGGCCAGTTGGCCTCGAATTGGGCTCCTTTCGGAGCTGGCTTAAATAATGAAAACGAAAAGAGAACTATAAACTCATCGGAGTATTGGGAATCGGAAAAGCTACGTGATACGACGGGGTTGAATTTTGCAGCAGGTGCAGCGGATGAAAACTCTGGAAAACTCACACATGGCAATGGGGTAAAGTGGGTGTTCCATACACTCCCTAACTGGGTTTGTAATTTGATGGAACGCAATCTTTTAGTAATTAATCAGATGAATAATTATTTACAGGGAAACCCTTTATTTGAGAAAAACATTTAGTTTGTAACTAGTATTTATAATCGATTTATTTCATGACCAAGAAATATATATAAGAAAGTACTGCTGTAAACATTCCTGAAAGCGTCAGTAGGATCTCCTCAGGCAATGATAAAGTCCAAATGTAATAGGAAAAGGCTATTATGATTATTATAAGTAGGAAAATTAGGAGTATATCAAATGCCTTGTACTTGGGCTTTTTAGTGCGTTTAGGTTCCAGGTAACGGGGACCATAAAGGTCTTTAAAATCTTGAAGAGCCTTCATTATAATGATTATCTTTTTTATCTGAGCCCGAATTTGTTTATTGAGCTCTGGGCCCCAAATCACATCCTTTGGGGGAGCTGTCATGCGCATATGAAGCGAGGCCACAAATTGACGAGATGGAAACTGGTTGCCAATTGGATTGATCCACACGGTGCGACCTCGATGGGGTTTTGGAAGGACAATAGCCATGCGGGGAAGCACCTGAGGTTCATCGATATGTATGGCCCTTTGCAAATTGGATTCTTGATCTGGGGACAAGTCCTTTGAAGTTGAGTTCTCTTCTGTTAACTCTATATCCTTAATTTCTCCAATATCCATAGAGCTATCAGAAATTTCTTTTCCACATTGAGAATTTGTATTGTCCAACTCATATTTTTTTACTTTTTCAGCAATAATCCTTTTTTCAAAGCCTGTTTTGTTCGTGGTAAAGGCAATGATTGGAAATTTTCGGGGTCTTGGAAGGACAATAGCCATACGGGGAAGCACCGGAGGTTCGTAGGTATGTATAGCCCTAAGTAGATTAGATTTCTGTGCATGCTGCTCAACCTCATTAGATAATGCTTTACTCTCCTGGTTCTGTTGAACATTTTCCTGAAGTAGGGTCAAAGTTGAATTGTCTTCTGTAGATTCTATAGTCTTAATTTCTGCACTATCCTTATTGATATCAGAAAAATCTTCCTTATATTGAGAATTTTCTTTTTCGATCACATCGTTCAAGTAAAGTAACTCTTTATTCTTTCCATTTTCAGCCATCATCTTTGTTTTCAACAATCTTTTTTGCTGGATAAAAGCAATGATTGCAGCTTTTCGCATTACTCCATAGTATATCTTAAAGGTTGGATTACCGTAGGACATACAACGTTTGTTTTCATTACTTATCCCCAACAAAGGGTTGGATGATGTCTAAGAGTAAAAAGTATGTAAAAATGTTATTGGAAAAATAATTTCCAACTTACCATTTTGGGGTTGTAATTTTTGTAAAGCTACTTGTTTACTTTAGAGATTTCGAACTGGGAATGAAATGTTTTGGAGGATTCATATGGAATACTGCCAGAAGGGTACAGAAAAGTCATGGACTACTTTGATATTGTTTTTCACACGAAAATACTTTAATCATTAAACAACGTACCGCATTTCCCTTATTTTTTTTTTTTTTTGTATTCCCCTAAACTAATTTTTGAATATTTGTGTCCCAACTGCCTGCATGTTGCTATGACAGTGGAAACAAATTGCCAACGCATAATAAACCGAATCCATGTAGGCAATTTCCACACCAGAACCCACTCTCAAATACAAAATGATACATATACAAAGTTCTAGAACTTCGGCTCCCAGGAGCGTCACTGAGGAAATGTCGCACATGCCCTCTTCACCTTTTGACTGACAGACGAACGAGAACAGGTTGAAACCATTGCCGTCTGCACTGAGCGAAAAGTGCAAACATATTTATGGTAATTAAAATTGATTTGAAAAGTTTAGATTGTCTCTGTGGTCGCAAACTCTCTTTCAAAATTCACAATGTTTCAGAGTCGGAGTAGCGACTTTGATTCCGACGCAGTCTCCGGTTGGTCGTATAGGACGAATTTTGGCAACAGATCAGAGGCCATCCTGGCAAACAAATGAGGTTAATAAAATAGTGTATCTGTTTCTAAATTATCTAAATTATGTTGGTTTCTTCATAACAAAAGCAGAGAATACTAAGTCATTTAAGTAGAAGTCTAAAAAGATTAAAATTTAGGTTGGTGTTTAATTTAGCTTATTACGAATACTGATTGTTGGTGAACTTATTGAAAATCTATGTGTTTAGTCAGGCGAATTCATTAGTTATCATTGCTTCTAGTATTTTGACCGCAGGTGTAGTGCCTGCATGTGTGACAAAACTTTCTAATTAAAGTTCCTGCAACCCCGCAACTGAAAAGTTGTCAAGTTCTCACGTGTGTTTGTATTTGCACAGGCGAGGGCAAAGTTTTCGGTGTCGGCTTTTAGGCGCACTGCGTAATATATTTTACTTCGGTCGGCGTTGTTGATGTTGTTGTTGTTGATGGGGTTGTTGTCTTTGTTGTTGTTGCTACTTTGCTGCGGTCTCGATTATGCCAAAATTTCAGTCTGATTTTAATTAGCTCTCCGGGCAATTAGCCAAGCTCTAGACGTTAAAACAAAAAACTTGCGAAAATAAGGAAATCAAGTTATTTTAAGCAGCATTGAAAGTAGTTTCTTAAAATGAAATTTAAATACAAAAAAATTGATCAAATCAGGTAGTCCGAATTCAGGTTTGCTAACGCCTACTGTATGCAGATTCCTGGATGGCTTGTATGAAAGCTCCCTAATGATTCAGGATGTAGTCTAGAACATTCCAACCTGATTCAGACCTGAATCCTAAAGGATTGGTACTGAAAGGTCAATTAAAATTCATATTAGTGTCAAGAATTTTTAATTACGAAACGGGAATTGGGTTTAAAGTCATTTGAAATGTTTTTAAATTAATTAAATTAATATTATAATAATAATAGCATTGAAATAATCGTATTTCCTTTCATTTAAATTACTTTTATTTACCTCTTAGGCTTGAAAGTTTTCCATACAAAAGACTAAAACTATTCTCTTTGAAGCCTTACATCTCTTTAAACTGATTCCACAACTTGGAAAGAGTTTGGTACTGGCCTGAACTAAAATCGAATAAAAATAAAAGCTGGCCAGCGCAATTGTAAATGAAAATAGAAGACAACGACTTCCCGCTGGTTTACCCCCAGGCAAGCAATATTTTTAAGTTCCTCCATTCAAATTGAATTAAATAATATGCAGTCGACTCGCAAACAGAACTTTCTCCAAAAACTTAACTTTCGCTGAGCCCGACAGGGAAGTGGAAGTGGAAATGGATGTGGAAGTGCTAGTGGAGAGGGGTAAGCAAAATAAGGCAAAGAATCTGAGGAGGTTGGCAACAACTTTCATAATTCATTTCTGCCTGAGTGTAACAATTTTTGCACTTTATGACTTTCGAGTGCGCGCACTGTGCGAGTGCCTTGAGTTTGACTTTTGGGCCCGCAAATCATGCAACTGCAACAGCAACTGCGGAATTCTCACAGCGGGAACTTCAAGTTGCAAACATTTTGGGTGCATCCTGCCTCTTTGGCCTTCCTTAGTTCTTTGTTCTCTGTTCTCTGTCCCCTCCCCGATCCCTCTTCATTTTTGTGCTAATTACAGGGGCCTCAGACGCTCCTCTCCGCTTGGCAACAACCGAAAACAAACTGACGGCCAAGAAGAACAACAAGCTGGGAACCAGGAAAGGACGATAACCATAAAGGCCAGGCCTTAGCAGGAGAAAAATGAAAAATAAGGAAAGAATTCTGGGATTAGAATAAAAAGGTACCCAGGATAATATAAGTACAATGAATAATGAAGACTTAAATCTATAGCTGGTGATCTGTTATGGTTTTAGTTCGTTTCTCCCCAAACCCTTAACTAGAAATGAATGTTACATACCTTTCGGAAATACATCATACCCTGTTGTGCACTATTAATGGATGCACTGCACAGGGAGCGAAAGCGAGAGCGAAAAAAGGGAAACAAACAAAAAGGCAAGGCCAGAAGCCTGACCAGGAAGTTGTAAACGGCGAAACGGCATTGGGACAGAAGGCGTCCAGTTCAGTTCAAGTTCCCCAGCTTCAGATCAAGTTCCAGCTCAAACTCAAAGCCGGTCCAGAAGGCCCGAGAGGGCTCGAAGGCAAAACAATGCCAACGGTAAGAGCAAACAGATTGGCAAGCGAAACGACCTCGAGCAGGGCCAGGAGTGCCAGTACATGTTCTACCCAAAAACAGGTAGCGACTTCGGCTAAAAAGGTGCTTCAAGAACAGCTCCTTGAGTAAAACGAACTCCAGTATACGTCGGCATTTAAGCAAGTAAAAACTACAAATATACAACTTGTAAAGCTCTTTTTAAAGCAAATATTTTATTATTTAATATTTAAATATCTCTTGAAAACATCCATTCATTTGTGCATCAAACTTTAAGCACGTTTAAAGATCCCTACTTTAACTGAACTTGAACTTGCTTTCCTTCAAGTAAGTACTGACAGTTCTAAGCCTCCGGCCACTGTTGACAGAGTAACTTTATCTAACTGAAAGTTACCGAAAGTCACACAGAACTTTACTGGTTCATTAATTATGCCAGCCACAAAATAAGGCTCGACTGGATTTGGGCCGCCCATCATTTGCCTTGTGATTTCTTTATTATACTTCGGAGGGAGTTAAAGAATTTAATACTATATACTTAAATCAATTTTATAAGCAAATATATTGACACATATGTTATTTTCGCTTTAAAATTGTATTACTTGCTGTCGTCCCTTTGACCATAAACATTGTTTATGTCACGCATTGACACGCGTCGTTCCTCTCAGAAAAAACAACAGAATTTTTCGATTTATATGTACATATATGTATATATACATATATATATTATATATATGTATATATACATATATATATATGAGGCAGTACAAAGACAATTGAATACGCAGGTCCTGCAAACGAAGTTCCATGTTCGGGAATCGGCATTTCCCTTATCGCAGGCCCACTCCCACATAAATATAAATAAATACATACGAATAAATAACCGAGTTGGGGGAATGGGAGCCGGGAAATGGAGTCGGTCATGGAGCACAATCGAAACAATAACAGTGCCGCAAAATAAAGGAATTCGGAAGGGATATGCCATGGCCATGGAGCGGTTAAGTGAAAACACTTGAACAATCCCAGTCGATGTCGATGGAGGGAAAAGGTATAAATAATTTGCTTTTGATGAATTTGAGGCACGTGAATTTTCAATAAAATACCAATACAATAATTAAGGTAAACGGGAGAACAATTGCTTTTGTTATATCTCAGTAGCCTTAAAGCTTATTGGGAAAATGTGTGGAATTACACTTGGTTCTGGAAACTGAATTTCCTATGGAAAACAGATTTATTAACAAACTAGTTTAAGCTAAAAAAACATACAAAATAGGTTTTTACCAACTACCAATTAGCTAATTCTTGGAACATTATTTAATTCCAACATTTTATTACATTATAAAAGAACACTTAAGATTAAGATAAGTGTATATCGTAATATAAGAACCATTTAAGCTTGGCAGAAACTCCTTAAATGCTTGATTGATTATGTTACATTATTGCCAGCCTTGTTAAATAATGAAGCTAATTAACCTAAATCTGATTGATTGCTATTTAAATACCCTGCGATCTTAATAACGCTCGCTCGAGCGCACTGCGGCAGTTTAATGAAGCGATAAACATCTCTTTAAAATGTATCCACTTAGGCCAAATGCCTCGGACAAACAGAGCTGCAGAGTCTCTAAACTATTTGCCAGCGCTTATCAAGAAATACCACACGAATCTTAACAATGGGCTGCTGAGCAATTAATCTCGTGGCACCAAGTTAAACCAAGAAACAAAACAAAGCTCGTGAAATCCGGTTGCCACTACTAATGCGGCTCATAATTTATGAGCCTTCGCACGAACACCAAAATAAAATATAAAGTCTCGGCGTGAGGAATCAACGCTCACATAATTTGCATAAATTGAAGATGTATCAGACGAAATTGAGGTAATAAAGCCAACAGACAACGAAGGGCCCCTATCACATTCTGGGCCTCGATGACGAAGATGCCGATCTGCTGCTGCTATCTGCTATCAAGCACTTGTAATTGGCACTAATTTGCTTTCACTTCATTTGAGAATCCCCCACGATTTATATGCAAATGAGGGCGTTCCACCGGATAGACACAAACAGGTTGGTTGGTTTGACGCTGTGCGAATGCCATTAAAATCAATTAAGAAATGGAAATAAAATCAATCTCCGAACACGGGCACTGGCATACACCCTCCTACGAGCATGAGGAAGTGCCAAAAAATCAGGTTTGTCCTTTATCAAAATTTATGCAAACCGCTGACAAAATGCTAAGCATTACATTCGCTTTTTTTTACCGAAAATAATATTAACTACTTGCAGGTGTGTGTGACAAACTCCCGGTAACCAGAAACGAGATCTTTTTAGTCAAGAGATGTGACCATGAACCCTAGAGTTCACCGACAGGTGATCAGCTGTTCACTGCATTCGTCTGAGACTCAAAATAAATGCCGAAGAAGCCAGAGAGCAGAAAAAAACCACTCTCGTGCTCATCTTTCGGCCGAAACGAAACCAAAATAAACTGAAATATAAAACCAACCGTCCTAATCCGGTTATTAAACTTTACACTATGCAGCAAAAGTTCGTGTAAGTTAGTCAACTTCCCGCTATGGCTTTTCATCGATTGACTATAAAAATGCTGCGCATGCTCAGCGACGCTTTTAGTTCGTTCGAAAATTTCAAAGTGTTCGGTTCGGGACATCACTATTATCTCATCGAAATATATAAAATATAAAAGGATTCCTTGCCGAAATGTCACTGCGATACGTAAGTGTATCGGGAGTTTTATTTGATTGCTCCATATCGATATGGAAATTGTGCTTTGGAGCTGGTCTTTCCTGAAATCAAAACGTTAGGAATGCAGCAAATTTGTTCTAATTAGCAATTTGCGTAAGCATCATTAGTTTAGTTCCAGTTTGATGCATAAATTACATTATGCAATTGGTTCTGAGCGGAAATTAGCATAATAGAATCATTCGTTAGATGAGCAAACAAAAATGTTAAATATATTGCCAATTAAATATTTGATTAAACAATCGAAACAAAAAAAAAGATGCAAAAACCAGACGGGTATTGTGACTTGAGCTGCTTTACATATATTTATTTTTGGTGAAATAAATTGCTTTATTATCATAGGTGTGAATCTGAGAACCATGACCATAAGATGATGGATAATTTCTTTCCATTCAGGCGAGGAATTTGCATAAATTTTAAGCTCGATTAGTTTCATTATAGTCGCTATGTTAATCAGGGCCAAAGAAGGTCTAATGACCTTTCCCACGAGCGAAAGGAACATGTCCGTTAGAACAAAATATGTGAGATGAGGCGGCCATAAAACAATCCAGTTCCAGCATGTGCCAAACAATGCAAGGTTTTCGCCATTCCGAAGGCCAATTCAAATCGAATGGGAATAACTTTCAAGCGCCCACACTTCCAGAGCCAAAACTAAACCAAATTTTCGAGTTGAAACACATTTGGAGTGGCTGTGGCCAAATTGGAACAATAGGGTCATAACTTTGAAAAACCGAGTCGAAATTAGTTAGAAATATATTGCTGCTTAAGGCATTTACTAAGACAAATAAGTCAATTTTCACACAAATGTTTACAAAGTAGATTAAATAGCTTAAGTACTTTTTAAATAGTCACCTTTTGCGAGACACTTAAAATTGATTTAAATATATTCTTATGCTTTTATCTTACAGCTCCTTATTGCATCTGCATTGCTGATAGCTCTCTGCGGAGCTGATGTTTCGGAAATAAAGCCAGGAAATATTGATTTGCCGTTCAATGACTTGTTGCCACCATTGGAGGATGTATCCAGTACCACGAGCTCGACTTCAACAACTACCACAACCTTAAGGACAACAAGATCAACGACCACAACAACGCTGGCCACGAAGCCCACCAAGAAACCTTATTACACAAAACCCACACAGGCGGCCAAGGAGGATAAGGTGAAACCCAGTGCTGCTAAACAGGACATCCAGTTGCTGTCCCTGGATCTGCTCCCACCCTTTGAGGATGATGCCAAGCCAACGGAAGAGCAGACCCAGCAGGTGGTAAATACCGAACCAAGTTCCGTAGTCAAGGTCACTCCACCACCCACTCCCAAACCCGTGATCAGGATCAGTCAACCTACTGTTCCCAAGCCTGTGATAAGTGTCCCTTCGCCTGCTGCTTCCCGGCCAGCGGTCAAGGTCATTCAACCGGCATACTCGGTACATCCTGCACCTCCCGTGGTACTGCCCACCCAGGCCTCCGTCCTGGCCAGCGGCTTCCAGTCCCGTTTCTCCAATTACTTCCTCACAAGCACCCCACGTCCAAGACGCGGTCCTCTGCCCACGATCACACCCTTTCCGCATCACGTCCGACTATAGGAATCCATTTAATTAGATAAGATAAGCATTCAAAGGCCAAGTCAAAACATAAAATAAATAAGACAACACTGAGATAATGAGTGGAAAATATTCGGTATTATGTATAAGCGACTGTTGAAGCATCACAGCAAAAAAAAAAAATATACACAAAGTTTTAAAGAAAACAGAGTTGATGGATCTTAAATAATTTATGAATGCACAAAAGTGAGCATTTTGGATCAAAGAAGCGTAAACATTTCAGATCATCTGCGGACAGAACAGGCCATTTGCTTTAAATCAGCATTTTTATGACCATTGGTGTATATGCAAAAATAATTTTAAAGATATGTTTCTTGATTTAATTCCTATATGATAATGATAAACAACAAAATAACTTAACAACGAACGTAAGAAACTAATCTTTTTTTGGTATTATAGAAAGGGTTCTCTGAATTTGCATTATGGAAGCATTTTTTTTACTTCTAAACAAATTACTATTTTTAAACTTAAAGTAGGGTTATGATAATGATTATGATAGCATCATCATAATGTCTGTAAGGGAGTTTATGCTTTGAACAACCACATTTAGAATTGTAGTAAAATGAACTAAGACTAATAGAATCTTAGTTAATTTCTATTGTAAAAGACTTGTCAAGGTGATGTATGTTTTCCATGGAATATCTGTAGACACTTTATATATCTAATTATTTATATCAAAAGCTTTTCTTATTATTTTGACTTATTCCAGCATTTATGCTGAATTACCTTAGGGTATTCCCAGAATTACTTCGACAAGGTAAACTTATCAAGTTGACAGTTAATTCACAAACAGGAAAATGTTAGCCCAGGTGACTCCCTTCCCACACAAATCCGCGAAATTTAGTTAGCAAACCCCCATAAACCACCTTTCCCTTCACCTGCACCAAAACCCATTCTCTTCGTGTTCGCCGCAAAACGCGGAATTCAGATTCATTAACAGCATTTAATTAATTGCCGACGCGGAGCAAATAGCTTGGCGCCACCGAAACTGAAACTGAAACAGCAGAAGCTGACACTGAAAGGCCCTGTCAGCTGCTTTTAGCCCCCAGCTAATATACATATTATGGCACCCAAAATCCCGACCGAGCCCGAATCGGACACCAATTTCAAAGCCAATTTCAAACTAGAACCAGAATCAGGCTCGAAACCCATCGCCTGACATTTGCTCAACCTGCTAAATGCTAATTACTTGGCCATGATGATGTCGCTGACATTCGGCCTGTCAGAAATTCGTGGCATTCGCATTGCAACCGAGAACTTACACTGGAAGAATAATAGAAGAGAAAGATGAATATTATATAAATATCTCTTTGTAAACAAATATATGTTTTTTAGAAAGCAATTGAGGTTTTTGCGATACTAAATGTATAAAAATAAGAAAGACATACATGGTATTCATCACAAGCTCTGTTTCACATTGGACTTTTTTGTAATTTCCAAGAATTCTGCGTCTGATTTAGCTTGATTTAAGATGTCAAACTCTACAGTAATCTATAGGTTATTATAAACATTTCCCACATAACCTCGCTCTAAGTGCATTCCCCGTTCGATCTAATCAAATCATTGCCACACCGATTAGCCATATTTATGTCTCCCGTTTGTCACTCGGCACCGGGCATTGTTGTTACTACCGGCTTCTGGCCGTTTTGGCCGCGTTAATTACACGGCTGATTGACATTAATGCGCTACCATTGGCCGGCGGGAATACAGCCGGCAAACTCCGTTGGCGATCTTGATGCAACAGCTGATTTAAATGGCTATCTGGCCTCTGGCACAAGTGAAGCAAACATTTCCATTGATTAATGGCATTAACATAAATTTAATAAGCTATGATAAATGATTCAGATAAATGCTTTATGCATACTTCGGTAGGAATGCCAAGCGCCATTCCATTGTTTACAATCGCCCATTGATATATCTTTTTTTCGGTTTGTCCAAAACGATTTCCATGTTGAATGATTGCCGATAAGCAAATGGCCACAGAAACTTTTTCACAAATGACACACAAGTTGTATACATTCCTAGAGTCGTTTTTGCAAGTAATTAAAACAATTTAAAAACAGCATCAAACAGTACTTTAATCAAATAAAATGTAACAATAAATCTTACATTTCCCAGCATTACGTGAAGAATTTATACATTATTTAAAAGTAAATATATGCAGGGTTTTGATTTCATTTCAGATATGTTTGCATTCTGATGCAAACGTTTCCAATTAAAATATATTCATAATCATAACAGAGCAGCAAACATATTTTCTACTCAATTTGGTGTAAAATTGATAAAACGTTTTCCATTTGCCATGGAAACTTGTAAGCCGATTCGCATAATAACGCTACTGATGCTGCCGTAACTGAAGCTTAAGCCGAAGCCCCTCCAATGTCAGACCGTGACAAAATCATAGCGGTTTAATACGCTTCAACTAATTACTAAAACCCCCTGAGCTCCTCCCTGAGGAAAAGCCATGAGCTGCCAGGCAAAGCAACAATTTAAATGACACGATTCAAATTGTATTTCCAGCGAAGTTTTAGTACTCTAATTGGCTTTGATTTGGTAATCTATTTATAATTAATATTATCATCAATAAAACAAATTAGGGGTTTTTTCTTAGATTAGTTTAAAGGGTTTCAAAACATGGAAAAGCCTCTTTTAAATTCGTTTAAAATCGTATATCTTTTTCATATCTTTGCATTTGTTCTTACAACTTAGTTTTGTTTAAATTTATCATTTACTTGTTATATTTACTTTACGAATCCCATGAAAAAATGTAAAGTTTATATTTCTCTGCATAGAGTATTGGTTTACTCCGTTCTCATTAAAAAAGTTTAGAGTTTGAGGATGCGTGGAAAGCCATTAGATGTTGGCCATGGCATTGGAGCCATCTCACCCCCCACTGTGTGTGTGTGTGTGGATCTCACAGCAGCATTAAAAATCGCTTTTAACAATGGGTGCCATAAGCTCTTAGGCAAACTTTTAATGTGCACAGACAAACACACACAGGCACACACACACATAAGGGGTATGGCATAAGGGTGAAAGATTTATGTGGCCAACGCTGCGTATGAGCGTTGTAAAAGTATTTTCAACTTTAACACGCAGCCTGAAGTGGCCTACCCGAAAACCCCTGGACGAGTTTTTAGATATATTAAAAGTGTCTAGACTATGCCACATTAGGCAAAACAATAAACCATACAAAACAATAGTAATAAAAAAGAGTGAGACTAAATGAAAATGTTGTCCGAGTCTAATGATCTTTTGCACAAAAAGAAGAAAAATTTGCCTCAATATTATGCAACATTTTCTCATTAAGTTGTACATTTTTATATTTAACTTTAAAAGATATATTTTGTAATAATAATATTGAAATGAAATGGCAACATTTATATATCACTTGATGGAAATGCGACCCCTCTTACCCCCCTTACAGAAGCTCGCTTTTAACACTCATTTTTATGCCACTTTAATTTAATTTTCCTACTTGCTGCGCAGTATGTTAATTTCATTTCCCCATAGCCCAGAAAGACGATTTTCACTTTTCGCAGCTGTCGCCGAATGAATTAATGACCTTAAGTGGATGGCCGAAAGGACAATAACTTCCCGCCACAATACTGATGTAAATGTTTGCACGAATTTTAAATTGATAGTAAATATTAAAGCTCTTCGCCCCCTTTGCAAAAGTCGTCCATCCGGCTTTAAATGTAATTTTTGCGCCAACTTTTCTCATTTGCCCACTGCATACAATAATAATTTTAATATGACCGTGTAGCTGGGGCCACAGCCTGTCGGTATGATATGGCGGATGATGGGGCTATCATCCAGACGACCGCCCACATATATCCCCTTAATTATGCTGTGCCAACAGAGGAATGAGGAAGGAGTGAGCTGAGAGGATTCTGCATCTCCAATTTACATAAGAGTGGCGAATGGTCAGTGCCAAACAACTGAGCGATTCGAGTATTGATGGTCGAATCACCATGGCCAACATTGTAGGCCATTAGTCGGCTTACAGGGCCAGAACTGACGTTTCAACCATTTTCCAGACAAAGCCATTTAACTTTACAATTTCTAGATATATATCTTTTCAAAACAATTAGATTTAAAGCAACCTAAAACAAACTTGAGTACGAATTTGTTGTTTAAATACTTTGCTAGATCCTTACTGATTTTTATTAATAAAAACTTTTTGACTTGGTTTATCCCAACTTAAAATATCCTTTATCTCTTAAATTCTCTTTAGAACAACCAAACCTGATGTTAGTATACAGAACCATAGATGCTCCATTCAACCGTTAATGCTTCGCTTCAGTTACAGTAACGGAAATGAGTTTTAATGTGAAAATAATTGCATGTCATTGACGTTGACAACAGCAACAGGATATAAGCAAACAGACAATGCGAGAATATTGATATAATATCATTAAATTTCATTTCATATTTGATCTGTGATGAATGGCAGACAGTTCAAGTTGCCGGTGTGCCACTGATTCAGCCCCGAGTTCGTACTTTCCCTCTTCATTCCGGCTTCTGTTTGCCGTTTAATTGATTGAAATGGAAATGCAAAACCTTGACTCACATCCCGTCGATGGCCCGGCATTTCCTTTGAATCATAATTTCCTGGCATTAATTGAAAAGTAAAATCCGCAAGTCCATTGAATTACATTTTTCTCTTTCAAGGTTTTACTTATTTCATTTATTTTTATTTATTGCTGCTAAAAGGAGTCCTTCAGTTTGGCTTTCGGATTTAGAAGTCTGCTTTTGTACACAAAATAAAAATAAAACAAGAAAGGAAGCTAACTTCGGCCCGCCGAAGTTTAAATACCCTTGCAGATAGAAATTCTATGACTAGAAATCCATACAATATAAATTATATATATTTGTGTTAAAAAACAATGAAGTAATACCTGCTTTTATTTCATTCACCTATACATATTATATTTGCAGCTTTATATTCACAGATTTGTATTTTTCTTCTACATCAAACG